ATTTTCTGATACATAATTCCACGATCAATTATAATTAGTTTGGTCGAAGCCTTTCATAGCACTCATAAATAATATTTAACTAAGGTAAGGAGGCTGGAGCGATAGCACAGCGGGTAGGGCGTCTGCCTTGCACGCGGCCAACATGGCCGACCCGAGTTCGATTCCTCCACCCCTCTCGGAGAGCCCGGCAAGCTACCGAGAGTATTCGATATGCCAGACACAGTAACAACAAAGTCTCCAACGGAGACGTTACTGGGCCCGCTCAAGCAAATATTTAACTAAATAAGGGCAAAATTTAAATTTATAAATTTAATAGTGCTACAATGTAATGACTGCTTACTGTGTACTCTATGTGTACTATAGTACTTATATGTTTATCAAATACTCCCACAGAAATCCTGTGGAATTGGTACTTTTTATCTATTCTGCTCCTTTAAAAACAAATAAAGACTTGAAATCAATGGGTGGCGTCAACGATTCAAATTGTGATGCTAATAACTGGTAAAGTTGTGAGTTGTGAGTTGAACCAAACAGAAGTCAAGCTTAATTGATAGTGTAAGCTTAAAAGTTTGGTATCATACCCAACAGTGTTCAAAAAATGGCTATTAAAAGACATGTCATGCATACTCTACCACTTAGTCATATTTCTGTTTCCCAAAACTGATGCTTTCCTGATCAAGGCTACTGTGCCTGTGTCCCATATAGAAAGGAATAAAGATAAGCAGTTCCTTGGAATAAAGGTATCAAATACACCTACATAAAAACTTTAATAATTAAAGTACAAGGTCTTAAAATACCAAATGCAGAAAGTACTGAATGATCTATTGCTGAATTATTTCATTAATTAACAACAGTGTGTTCTCTCACAGAAACCTTTCACCAGTCAATAATGATCTATAATAATGCTTTTTCCTATCAATTTTAAGTCTGATTCTCAAAACATTAGCAGCTAGCGTGTTCCCAGTCAGATGAGGGAAGGCCAACCAGCAAGCTACTTTTTAAAATAATATGAACAGCGAAAATTATGTATCCCAGGGCAGGAGTAATAGTACAACAGGTTGGGTGTTTGCCTTGCACGTGGCTGACCTGAGTTCAATCCCCAGCATCCCATATGGCACCCCGCACACCACCAGGAGCAGTTCCTGATTGTAGAGTCAGGAGTAACCTCTGAGCATTGCAGGGTGTGACTCAAAACAGCAAAAAAAAAAAAAAAAAAAAAAAAAAAAGACAGAAAGAAATTATGTATTCTATTGAAACCTCTGATGACAATACAAGGAAAAATTAAAGAACAGTGCTTGCTTATCTATGAATTTATCACAAAGTAACATGTCAAAATGTGTATCTGAAAATCACCTTTAGAAACTAGAAATGAGGACTAGAGGTTCAAAATGGCAGCCCACATGAGCAATGTATTGTATGCCCTGAGTTCAATTCCCAGCACCTCATGTCCCCCCAAACACCACCATTGTTCCAAAGCATGGCTGGGCTTGAGCAACAACAAAAAAAGTGGGAGACTATGAATTTGGAGTAAGTAATGAATTATGACACCTACTTTAAAGACTTCTGACAAGACCACCAAGAAAAGTACAGTGACAAGTTCCTTCTGTTTATGTTGACAACCAAAAAAAATGATCTAAAATAGCTTCTTCTTCACTTAAGCAGAATTATATCCCATCCCCCTCAGTCCCTGGCAAACAGGAAATAATCACAGCTGCAACTCACATGCTGTCTGAGGTCCTGGGTTTATTCCCTAGAACTTTACCAACTCCCTTCCCCAACCACCACCACCAACAGAGAAACCAACCCAAAACAAAAGCATCAACAAAAAGACAGTTATCTATAGCTTATAAGCCATATATTCCCCTCCACACTCTACTCTGCTTTAATAAACAAACAACTGAGTAAGCATGGGTGGAATCAATTTTAATTCACAAAAATTTTGAAATTTAATTCACTTAAAGGTCAAAAATTTCCTAATTCCTTCTTCAAGAGTGTTGCTTTTCTAACTCATATCTACGATTCAACTAAATTCCTACATCAATAGTATTTTCCCTCAAACATCTGAGATTACACATTCAATTTAAATCAAACCACAATGTTTTAAGAACAACAGAAGCTTACCGTTATCCCTATTATTTAAAAAAAAAAAAGCAATTCTTACAAAAAACATAAAAACTGCATAACATATTTATTTACTTTTGGTTTGGGGGTCAAACTCGATGGTGCTTGAAGATCCCTTCTTCAGGTTCTTAGAAAACTATACAGTGCAGGGAATTAAACCAGGATTCCAGTAAACAAATCATATACTCAGTACATCTAGCTATTCTCTGACCTCATATATTTCATTTTTTTTAATTTTTTTTTTATATATTTCTTAGTTCAGGGTGAGTTAACTATACTGACCCAAAATAAAGTAGAAAGCACCAAGTCTTTTCTCATTATTTCGGTTTACTACCACATTAGCACAGTGGTAGGGCGTTTGCCTTGCACGCAGCCAACAGGGCTGACCCAAGTTTGATTCCTCCGCCCCTCTCAGAGAGCCTGGCAGAGCCTGGCAAGCTCCCCGTGATGTATTCAATATGCCAAACACAGTAACAACAAAGTCTCCAATGGAGACGTTACTGGGCCCGCTCGAGCAAATCGATGAACAACGGGAGGACGGTGACCACATTTGAAAGAATTTTTTTTAACTGAAATCCTAAACTTATTTGAGAGTTGAATCTGAATGTTAGTGTAATAAATCTGAAATGGCTAAATGTAAATAAATTTCAATATTTGAGAAATAAAGACTATTAATGGGCTATCAAGCACTTAAGCAAATAGGTCTATTCACTACTCTCAAAATGCAGTAACCTCTCAATAAAGTATTTTAAAAATTCTTTTATTTTGCCTCATAAAGATCAATGGGAATATATAAGAAGGTGAAAGGGGAGAATATTATGAAAATAAATGAAAAGGTGAGAGGGGAGAATATTAAAGGTCTACAAATGCTTAGAATGAATTCAAGTCAGTTAAAAGTTATGTTTAAGAATGGTTTCTCCACTGTTGGTGGGAATGTCCACTGGTTCAGCCCTTCTGGAAAACAGTATGGACGATTCTCAAAAAATTAGAAATTGAGCTCCCATTTGACCCAGCAATACCACTCCTGGGAATATATCCCAGAGAGGCAAAAATGTATAGTCGAAGTGACATCTGCACTTGTTTGTTCATTGCAGCACTCTTTACAATAGCCAGAAACTGGAAGAAACCTGAATGCCCAAGAACAGATGACTGGTTAAAGAAACTTTGGTACATCTACACAATGGAGTACTATGTAGCTGTTAGAAAAGATGAAGTCATGAAATTTATATACAAGTGGTACAATATGGAAAGTATCATGCTAAGCGAAATGAGTCAGAAAGAGAGGGATAGACATAGAAAGATTGCATTCATCTGGGGGATATAAAGTAACAAAGTATGAGATTAATACCCAAGAATAGCTGAGATCAGCACCAGGAGGATTACTCCATAACTTAGAGGCCAGCCGGGTATCCTAGAGGAAAGGGCAGTTCAGATAGAGAAGGGAGCACCAAATACAGGATGTTTGGAGGATCCTCCCAGGAGGGGAGATGCATGTCGAAAGTAGACTATGGACTGAACATGTTTGCCACTCAATGCCTCTTTTACAGACCACAACACCCAAAAGGAGAGAGAGAACACAGGGGATTGCCCTGCCACAGAGACAGGGGGGATGGGGGGATGGGGGTGGGAGGGATATTATCCATGGTGGTGGAAAATGGGCACTGGTGGAGGGATGGGTATCTGATCATTGTATAATTGAAACCAAAGCACAAAAAATTGTAAATCTACAACTGTAAAAAAAAATAAAGGGGGAAAAAAGAAAAAAAAATAAATAAAAAAAATCACTAAGAGGAAAAATAAATGGTTTCTCACATCACACTGTTTGGTGTTCTACAGATAACTGAGTATACAGATAGAAAAGTAAATTTAAAAACTGTTTACAAGCTTATTTACTTAAAAGAGGAATTTCTAATTGTCAGAATGTAAAACAAAATTAGCAGCTGCTTTCTTCAATGACAAGAATAAGAACTGTCAGTTCCATGCCCCACTTTCTTAAAAATCTGAATAAAATTTACAATCTTGTGAATGAATGCATACCTTCAGCTCACAGACCATTATTTAAATACAACCAAAACTGTGTAGTATTACGCTAGAGGATATGAAAGTCAAAGCATATTAAAATAAAAATGTTTCCTAACATTAACAATAGTGAATGCTATTATATCTTTATATTAATAAAAAAGTAAGCTCAAGAAGAATACATCAGATACCAGTAGAAGGAGATGCTGAGGACTTGAGTAAGTAAGAAAGAGTGATATGCTCAAAACTTCCTACCACATTTTTTTTCTTTTTGGGTCACACCCATTGATGCACAGGGGTGACTCCTGGCTCTGTGATCAGGAATTACTCCTGGCAGTGCTCGGGGAACCATATGGGATGCTGGGGATCAAACCCGGGTCAGTCGCGTGCAAGGCCAAAGCCCTACCCACTGTGCTATCTATCACTCCAGCACCTCTACCACTACTTAATGCGAAATTTCCATAATTTTTCCATAACCATATAGTTAATGTCAAGACATTTAATAATACCCTACAATACCCTAAAATTGGCTGAACAAATTTTCAAAATACTTGGCTTTAAAATTATTATTAAGAATGGTTTCTCACGTCACACTGTTTGGTGAAAAATATTCTGTATTTAATATAATATGTGAAAACTACAATAACTCCTGCTATATTAACTGTTACAAGGCTACATACATGTCTTCCAGGAACTTTCCAAATTAGGACAAAGCTCTTTCCAAAGTAAAATCTTTTGTTATAATCAACTGTTTTGCCTTAATTTTTAATTTGTTATTAAAAGAACAAACATTAATTTGGTTACATGTTCTACTATATGCAATGTATCATATATGAATTAAGATTTTAAAAGCTACTTACAGTAAATATCCGTCTGCCAGTTCGATCAAAAGTTACACAGTACACAGATGATAAGTGTCCTAGAATTCTTTTATGCATTTTCATGTGCTGATATACTGCAGTTGGGACAAGTCTCTCAAGCCTGTATTTCCCATTCAACTTCCTTGAAAACAAAGTATCAGCTACCAAGAAAAAGGATAAAAAATTATAATGCAGAAATTAATTTCCTTGTCATCTTTCAACAATGTACATGTACCAATTTCTCATTTGTTAGCAAAAATTTAAAAATTCTCCTACATATAACTACTAGCTAAACATCTTCTGATCAATAAGAACACCTTATTTTACCTAAGCTAGGCAGTTTTCCTCATTCATCATACAAGAAAATTCAGTTAAAGAACCTGTATAAAAACCACAATGTAGGTGCTAGAGAGATAGTACAACAGGTAGGGTGCTCGTCTTGCACCCAGCCGACCCAGGATTCAGTCCCAGGCACTCTCTAAAGTCCCCTCAGGCAGGGACTGATGCCGGAGTTTAGAGTACCCACTGGGTATGGCCCCAAACCCTAAAAATTAAAAATAAAATTTAAAATTAACTGCCTCCACCTACTTCCAATCATTGACCAGTCCCTTTGGCCCCTGTTTTTTTCTGGTCTTGGATATTAGGATAGTTAGGAAAGAGAAGGGACCAGCACGACAATAGGAGTTAGAAATGATCATTCTGGAAGATAGCAGCAGTGCGGATGCAGGTGACCAAGACAGTTGGAGCAGTGGTGGCTCTTGGAATGTTGAACTGGGGCGCACAAGGGCACAGCCACTACGTAATTTGCAGGAATAAATGTTAAGTGACAATTCTTTTAAAAGGCACTTTTCAAGGCCAGATTGGCACCTGGAATTGCTGTGGTGCCCCAAGCTTCCACCATGAGCAAGAGTGGCTTGTGCAGCTGAATGGCCCCAGAAACTTGCAGAAGCTGTGCCAGGACTAAAAGCCACTGTCGCACCCATGGCTCAGACACCACCAGGGCAGACCTGCAACTTCTTTTCCCTGCAACACGCCACGCTATCCTCAACGTACTGTGGAAGAATACTTCCCTGAGCGCCAACTAACTGTAGACCCAGGATGAGCTCAGGCCCTGTTGGTGCAGTGCCAAGACGGAGAACGGTAGCAGCTCTGGACCTGGTCCTGGTCCCTGCCAAGGCCCCTGCTGCCTCTACTTCTGGAGTCTAGGGGTTGCAGTAATGCTAGCAGGTTAACCTGGGCCCACAGGGTAAATGCACCAGCTGCCTGATGGTGCCTCCAGACTTCCTGATACCCCAAAATCACTGCTGTTTCCCTGACAGGATTCCAACTACTCAGGACTTAGTTTCCAAAGAAATTAAACTGCTTAAAGTTAGACATGTGGGAGTCACACTCACAAAACACATCTGGCTCGGCCATATAAGCTCATTTATCTGCCTTGCTTCAGAAATGCATAAATATGTCTCAAAAGAGATCAAAAGCTGCAGTTAATCTTGGACCTATAGAAGACGAACAGACTGGGGTAGATGGGGGAGGAGGGGAAGAAGGAGGTGTTAGCCTGGTGTCTGCCCAAATACAGCCACAGCAGCCACTTGCTTCCACAATCCAAAATTGCCACCATGCTCCAGCCAGATTCCACCATCTCAGGACATACCTCACTGAAATATTAATCTGCTGAAAATTCATATATGTGGATTTTGTGGCTGAAATCTACAGGCTTCCATAGGCAATCTCCCCCTCCCCCCCAACCTCCCTGTACTTCCCAAAGAGCCAGCAGTCATGTTCACACTCCAAAGCCAACAGCCAGCTAAAAAACCTCCAGCTGTGCCTTTCTGATAAAAATACTGAATGCCCTGCACAAACATGATGACCTCTTAGTACCTGTATTGCAAACCAGTCCCCAAAAGGAGCGAGGGAGGGAAGAAAGGATGGAGGGAGGAAGGAGAGCAGAGAGAGAGAGAGAGAGAGAGAGAAGGCTGGAGCAATAGTATAGCGGGCAAGGTGCTTGCCTTGCACACAGTGAACTGGGATGGATCCAAGAACCCCATATGGTCCCCTGAGCACCATGAGGAGTGATCGCTCATAACAGAGCTAGGTGTGGCCCAGAAACTAACGAACAAGATAAAAATAAAGAGAGAAAAGCGTGGAGTCAGGGGGGCTAACAGCCTCAAGCTTAAAGTCTAAACTGTCTACCACATATATTTATTGCTAAAAAATAATTTAATAAAAATCACAATGTAAGGCATAAATCTAGGATTAAAATTCAGACCTCCTTACTCTACAGCTAGTGCTCTAAAAATAATAATCATTTTGAATGATATATATATTTCTTTCTTTTTTTTTTTTCAAAAATATCTGAGGGGCTAGAGCGATAGCACAGCCGGTAGAGCATCTGCCTTGCACGCAGTCGACCCGGGTTTGATTCCCAACATCCCGTTTGGTCCCCTGAGCACCGCCAGGAGTGATTCCTGAGTGCAGAGCCAGGAGTCAGCCCTGAGCATCACCGGGTGTGACCCAAAAAGTCAAAAAAAAAAAAATCTATGAGATAAATTAAAGGGTACTTAAAATTGGACCAGGGACTAAAGAAATGCCTTTAAGGCACTAGCCTGTTTTGCATATAATGGACCTGGTTCAAAGCAACCTCAGCATAAGATTTCCTGAGTACACAGCCAGGAGTCAGCCCTGAGCACTTAATACCCAGCCAGGCGTAAGCCCTAAGTACTGCAGAGCCAATCACACTCTTAACTCCTCACAGACACACAAAAAGGAGGCAGTAACTTCTACTTTGTGTCAACCAACAATTCTTGAGTACTCTTAAGTCTGATATTTCAAATGATGTCCAAATGAAGGTAAAGGCCCTCCCGTTGATCGTCGATTTGCTCGAGTGGGCCCAGTAACGTCTCCATTGGAGACTTTGTTGTTACTGTGTCTGGCATATCGAATACTCTCGGTAGCTTGCCGGGCTCTCTGAGAGGGGCGGAGGAATCGAACCTGGGTCGGCCATGTTGGCCGCTTGTAAGGCGAACGCCCTACCGCTGTGCTATCACTCCAGCCCGTCCAAATGAAGACCAAAGAATAATTCTTCATTATTGAAAACAATATTAAGTAGACACTGCAGAGAACCAACCCAAGTAGGCCAGTCTCCAGGTCAGATCTCTGGAGTCTTCTCTGGCTGGGAAGAGCCACCTACACAAGACTTCCATTGGCATATGAACAACCCAGCTTCACAACAGATAGGACAGAGTCTGCAGCTGAGCTGACCCAGGTAGGCCAGTCTCCAGGCACAGATCTCTAGAGCTTTCTTTGGAAAGAAACTCCCACCCTGCTGGAAGGCCCAGGTCCACAGCTCCTTGAGTAACATCTCCAATTTCACAGTACCAACAGCCCAGCAGAACAAAAGGAAATTAAGACAAGAAAGTTACATGGAGGCCCACTGAGCTCAATCAGCAGTAACAACAGCACAGAAGGCTCAACTAGCACCACAGCTCAGTAAATCCTCACATAATGACTTTAGTAACAGAATCATGAGACAAGCTCTATGATTCCCTTTCAGTATCACATGTTAATTTAGCCTATCACTTATATATTTTTATCTCCACTACCAGATGCTAACTTAAGATCCTAATGGGCAGACATTCCCTCATATTCATGTCCCATAACCAAGTATAGTTTTTAAATAAATTAATTTTAGTTAATAATAAGATATACAAGATATTCGACTAAGTCTGCTCTATGGCAAAGACAAATATTCACACTGTAAAGAAATGAAGAGACTAATTTTATTTTTGAAGAAAAAGAAAACGTCTCTAGAATGACAGGAACTTTTATACTAAACCAGAACAAGAACTGTTAAAGATATGGCATCACAAGGAGTAAGTTCTCTATGTGATATTTTCATAGTGTTTCATCAGATTTTACACTGCTCAGTTATACTTCCTACCACTAGGTGAAGAGAGGCAGGAAGGAAAAGAGCAATTCCCAGCCTCACTCCTCCGAGAACCTCATGGGGATTCCTGCAAAGATTCACCCTCAGCACAGCAGAAACACAGCAAACAATGGGAAAACAAGTAGAAGTCTAGTATATCCTCAATGACTTCAGTGACACCATGGTGAGGATGATTAAGGGTGTCTGATTAACTCAAAGAAGCGATGGCACAGGCAGTCAGCAAACCAAGAAAATATGAGAGCCAAAATAAGGAAACGACAAGCAGAAATGAAGAGCAACGCAGGCAGTATGAAAAACTCAATAGAAGCACTGACCACCAGAGTAACAGGAGCTGAGCAAAATACCAGAAGCTTTTGTTTTTTGGGGTGCCGATGGTGCTTGGGAGGCTAGCAACTGAATGGGGGTCCCAAACCCTCATGCTAGCTCTCCAGTCCTTCATTGTAGTTTTCATTCGCATTTCCCAAATACTGCTGAGTGTATCTTTTCACTATTTAGTCAATAATTTCTTATCTACTACTAATCTAAATATGATACATCGTATTCACCTACAGGTCACCTTTCTCTAGTTCACATACAGTCATTTTTCAAGGATTGTTTTATTTGTCAAATAATAATACTAATTTGCATCCAATGTAGAAAACAGCATCAACTAAAGCAATCTTTCTCATATACATCATAAGAAAATTTTTATACATACTTTGAAACATGATGTATTCCTTAATGTGCACAGCATCATAAGGGTTCTACGGTTTTTTATTGATTGACTGGCTGATTGCTTTTTGGGTCACACACAGCGATGCACAAGGGTTACTCCTGGCTCTGCACTCAGGAATTAATTAACCCTGGCAGTGCTCAGGGGACCATATAGGATGCTGGGAATCGAACCCGGATCAGCTTCGTGCAAGGCAAATGCCCTACCCGCTGTGCTATTGCTCCAGCCCCGGGATCTACGTTTTTAAATTCAACTGACATTTATGTTCATACTGACATGGTAGAGATAGTAAGCAAATTAGTTTCACTCAACTTTAATTTCTTTATTATATTGCTGGAAATTTTTTTCACAATACACTTTCATATAATGCTTTGACATCTCAGTAAATTTTATTAATATTGTTTTCCTTCATGATTTCCTTTACTGCTTTAAAGAATCCTCCAATCAGCGAACAGTACAATAAATATCTACATGCATCCCCCCCCCTTTTTTCCCTTGGTTTCTGG